TATTTTTAGTTTTGTTTGTTTGTTTTTGGTGTGGTGCTGGGGAGTGAACCCAGGGCCTGTGCAGGCGAGTCAAGCCCTCTACCAACTGAGCTATACCCTCAGCCCTCCCAGCCTTTTTTATTTTTAATCTTATTTAGAGACAGGGTCTCCCTGAGTTGCTCAGGGACTCTCTAAGTTGCTGAGGCTGGCTTTGAACTTGTAATCCTCCGGCCTCAGCCTTTTGAGCCACTGGGATTACAGGCCTGCGCCACGGTGCCTGGCCAAGCTCTGCCCTTCGGAAGGTCCAGCAAAACCCTTAGGTCCCAGAACTGCAGAAGTTGCACGAGGACATGAGAAACCCCCCCTCCTGCATCCCTCTGCCATGCAGGGACCCTCAGTCTCAGGRAACAGGAAGAGGAAGGTTTTCATGTCCTTATTGCACCCGCCACCTCTCCTTCCCACTTCGTGGTCCCGGCCGGCTTGGGTAGCGCTTTCTCTTCAGCGAGGCAGGTTCTCTTCAGGAAAGGCCTTGCTCATTCTCCCTGCTCAGGGGAGTKTCGTTTGCATGGTCTGTGAAGGTTCCAGTCCAACTCCTTCCTCCAGGACGTGGGGGACTTGCACTTSTGGTCCAACCCCAGCATCCAGGTCTGTGTCTGGGTGGCCCTGTAGTGGTGTCCCGCAAGCTTCTGCGTCTCTTAGTKCCCACGGGGGAGGGGAGGGCAATCTCCCCCCAACGTCCAGGCGGCAGCAACACTGCTCCTGCCCCTTCTGGGCCCTCTTGGAGACAGCCCTGCTCAGCCCTACTTGGGGGAAGCCCCCTGTAGCACTTGTCTCCCAAGGGAGGGGCACTGCGGAGACCCCCGGGCTGGCCCTGCTATTCATCTCCATGCCCTGCTTGCTGGTGAGAAAAGAGCCTGGGCTGCTGAGTCCTTGAATGCGCTGTCCGTCACTGTCACCGGGCCAGCCTTTAAATGTCCCCTCTGTCTCCTTCCAGACACMAGACAGTGCCTCTGTTTTCGCTCAGGGCTGGGCCTTGGGAAGCACCAAGAAGGAGAGCAAAGCCGTTCAAAACCTGATCTGGGCTCAAGAGTCCATTTGTGTCCTCCTGGAGTCTCCTCCTCCTCTGAGGCCTCCTGTGTCCCCTAGGAGCTGGCCGGCTCCCAACAATTGTCTTTCSAGGAAAGAGAGAGAGGCAGCCCCTAATTGCCTGGGCCCAGTGGCTCTGTCTAGCAGGAACAGGTGCTTCTCCATGTGGTGGCAGAGGGGAGAATTTAATTGGATTCCCAGTCTTTTTCCAAGGCTCCCTCTTTGTTGGTCCCTGTAGAATAAATCCATTCAGGCGTCCTGCAGCAACTGGGCCTCTCTCCCGCCCCCTGCCCTCCAGGCCATCCCTTCTACCCCAGAGAGTCTCCAAAGGCCTTTCTGCGGTTGATTCAAGTTGGGCTGTTCTGGGGTGGGAGCGGCTGGGGAGGAGCTGCCTTTAAGGAACAAGTTACGTGGCTACAAAGAGACTGGGTGGTTAACTGTCTTGCCCTCCTGCTCTCACACCCTGTCTCCGCTGCTCCTGGCCAAGTCCACCCCTGGCATCTGCTTCTAGATCATCTCTCAGCTCTTGGTTGTGCATCTCAGGGGACATCAGCCAGGCTGCACTGGACGGGTTTCTAGTAGCCCTTGTCTAGTTATAATCTTCATCTGGGGTGATGGTAGAAAACAGGAATGGCTAGATCCCACCCCAGGGGTGGGGGGCAGGTCAGCATTTGCAGGAGGGGGCTTGGGACTCCCCTCTTATTAATGAGCATCCTGACTGAGAAATTCTGGCTGAAAATGAAGAAGAGTCTTTATTTTAAATCCGTGGTTTTTAAAGTTGGTTGTACATTGGAATTACCTGGAGAATTTTTTTTTTTTAATATCATTGAGGGATTCTGATTTAGTTGGGCAGGGGTTTGACCTCAGCATGTAACTTTATAAAGCCTTCTAGATATTTCTAAATGTGTAGCCAAGATCAAGTACCAGTGGTTCAGAGCCAGATGTGCTCTGATCTTGGTTGTGACTGGTCCAGGTATGGAGGCCCACGCCTGTAATCCCTGCAGCTCGGGAGGCTGAGGCAGGAGGATTGCAAGTTCAAAGTCAGCCTCAGCAAGTGAGCGAGGCCCTAAGCAACTCAGTTGAGACCCTGTCTCTAAATAAAATACAAAAAAGGGCTGGGATCATGGCTCAGTGGTTAAGTGCCCCTGGGTAAAAAAAACAAAAAAAAAAAAACAAAACCTGGGACCTTGGACAAGGCGCTACATGTCTCTGAGCACTACTGTGTTCCTGTAGAGGGGAAATCATGAGGCCTATTTCATAGTCTTGGTGGACATGAGGTTGCCCAGACCTGGTAGGTCTTCTACATTCTGGATTCAAGTCCTTAATCAGATAGATGATTTGGAAATATTTTTTTCCAAGTCTGTGGCTTGTGCTTCCAAATTTCTTTCTTTTTTTCTCTTCTTTCTTTCGTGTGTGTGTGTGTGTGTGTGTGTGTTTTACGGGGATCAAAGTCAGGGTCCTGCACATGTTAGGCGAACACTCTACCTCTGAGCTACATCCCCAGCTCCTCTTTGGTTTTCGTGATGTTGTCCTTTGCAGAAGTTTTAAATTTTCATGAGGTCCAATCTGTCATTTGTTTTTCTTTTAGAGACCCTACTTTTTATACCGTCTCTATGAAGTCTTYCCCCCTGTGTTCTAAGTTTTATGGTTTTAGCTGTTACATTCAGTCCTGCAGCCCGTTTTGAATTAATTTGAGGTAAGATAGGGATCTATGGTCACTCTTTTTTTTTTTTCCTTTGTTCCTGGGGATTGAACCCGGGGATGCTTTGCCACTGAGCCCATCCCCAGTCCTTTTTATTTCATTTTGAGACAGGCTTCACTAAATTTCCCAGGCTGCCTTGTAATTTGCAACCCTCCTGCCTCAGCCTCCCAAGTCTCTGGGATTATAGGCATACACCACTGTGCCCGGCGGTGGTCACTCTTTTGCTTTGGAATGTCCAGTTGTCTCAGAGCCATTTGCCAAAAAGAGAGTCCTTCCCACCTCCACTGTGCTGCCTTGGCACCTTTGCCAGAGATCAGTCAACCCTAACTGTAAAGGTTCATTTCTGAACTTTGAGTCCCTTCAGTTCATCTGCATGTCTACCCTGTGCCAGAGCCGCACCGTCCTGATCACTCATAGTAGGATCTAATAAGTGTTTGTTGCAAAATTGGATGAGATAATGAAAACTATAATTAGAAGGAAGATAAAGCCTACAGTTTGGCAGTCATAAAAACTGTACTTTCTAGAAAAGTCTATATAATTAGATTTTTTTTAAAAGAGTCATTTTGAGTGTTGTTGAGCAGTCTTGGACTGCTTTCCTGATGGCGTTGCTAGGTAAAGGGCTCACTACTCCAGCAGTTCTGCTGTATCCCTCTAGTTCCTGAGTTTGGCTAAGGAGGCAAGACGCCCTCCAGCCATTTTCCCACCAGGTCCCTACTTCATTCAAAGGCAGCAACACCCACTCAGGGGCCAAAGCCTGATTTGTTGAGTCTCAAAAGGCCTTGGGTGGTGAGTGCTGCCACAGCAAATTTGCACAATGGGCCTTTCCCAAACCACTGTGGCCACTCGGTCAACAGCTCCCCACCGGCACCCCCAGGGCTATCGCAGTCCAGGGCCTGTCTAAGCCCTCTTGGGAATGAGACACCAAAGCACAATTCCTGAGAGTTGGGGTGGCCCCCTAATGACCAGTACTGCTAAAGTCCACAGCATAACGTTGCAGACTGGCCTCCCTGATGGCCAGCACTGAGCCCCAGAGAATCCATGGATGTGAGGGGGGCAGGAGGGTCTCTTTGGGGTGAGCGAAGGGCAGCTTGTGGGAGCCGCGTGTGTATCTTTAAGCCCTGGGTCAGCGCTGGTGAAGAACTCTTCCTTACCTTCTTCCTTACATCAGGGATTTGAACACCAGCTTCCTGACTGCTGGGCGCAGCGAGTTTGGCAAGGTCATGCAGCTGTGAAGAGCAAGGCCTGGACCTGAGGTCAGGGCCCTGCCCAGCTGCTTTCCAGTTCCCACTCTTTATGGCCAGTGCAAATCAGAGGGGCTCCCGAGGGTTGATGGTCCCTCCTGCTCAGGAAGCCATCTGGCTCTGTGCTCTCAGGTGACCGCTCAGCTCTGGCTGGCTGGCCTGGTGCAGAGGGAAGAGATTCCCAGAGGGGGTCCAGAGAGCGGTGGGTGTGGGGGGGTGGAGCCTGGCAACGGAGGACTCTGGTGTCAATGAGCCTTTTCCACAATTAGGTGGAGAAGTGGATGGTTGGGTGGAGGCTTCCAGAAGGGGCCCAGGGATCTCCGATTCATGTGTTGCATGGCTCAGGTCCAGAGYGCAGCAGGCAGTTTAGCCCAACAGAACCACCATCAGCATTTCTTCCTGCCTCCCAATAATACTGATCAGGAGAAGCCGTGTCAGTGGGTGGTCAGAGCTTTGGAGTCAGGCAGGCCAGCGCCACCACTCAGTGGCTATGTGATGCTGRGCCAGTGGCTCAGGGTACTTCTGAGTATCACATTCCTTCGAATCAAATGGTGATTTTCTTCCCCACCTCAGAGGGTATTTGCAAGAACTRAACAAGATAATTTATGCTTATCATATGCTGAACCCTCAGATGCAAGCCAGGTGCCATGGCCACACCTATAATCCCGGGTAGTGGGGAGGTTGAAGCAGGAGAATCTTAAATTTGAGGGCATCCTGGGCAGCTTAGTGAGATTCTCTCAAAACATTAAGGACTGGGGACGTGGCTCGGTGATGGACAGCTTGCCTATCTTGGGTGGGACCCTGGGGTTCAATCCCCAGTGCAGCAACAGCCTCCCAGTGCAGCTCTGGACACCTGACAAACCCCTTGGATTCCACTCCCACCCTCACCCATGAGCCAGATGGGAACCTGAAGCAGTCCCATGGGACCCAGGCTGAGGGGTGGCCAGGTGGCCCCTCACCCCTTCCCTTCGCCCCCACCCCCCGCAGCCCCCGTCACCATGGAGATTGTCTACGTGTACGTGAAGAAGCGCAGCGAGTTTGGCAAGCAGTGCAACTTCTCAGACCGCCAGGCCGAGCTGAACATCGACATCCCCCCCAAYCCGGAGCTGGCCACGCAGTTTGTGGAGCGGAACCCAGTGGACACGGGCGTCCAGTGCTCCGCCAGCATGTCAGAGCATGAGGTGGGTCCCTGCCCCAAGAATCCAGGTCAGTGAAGATGTGGTCGGGCAAGGTGTCCAGAAAGAGCAGGTCAGGGTCCTGGGTGTCCTGTCCACCTGGAATCCAGGTGGAATGGACCAGCGTGGGTGCTGGAAGTGGGGGGGGGAGTCACTCCAAGAGCCACCAGAGTGCTGGGCTTGGGAGCAGACGCAGCAGCACTGTCCCCTGGACCAGGCGAGTGTCAATCAAAATGTTCTCTCTCGCTCGCGGCCTTGCCTCCGAGGGGCTCTGGCCTTGCTGCTGAGRCTTTCTAGAGCCACTTTGGGCCTTTGGTGCTTCTGGAAGAGGTATCCCCGGGAGCATGGACTCATATCTACAGGCAAAGCCCATCTTGGAAGAAGAAAAGTGTCCCACGGGAAGTTCTGGCCAGGGAGGGCGGGGCTCTGAGATAAGAGCACCCAGGGCCGTGGTCATGCCCTTTTGTCCTGCGGAGGCCCGTAGAGCTTCCGGTCCCTGTGAACCTGGTGATCAGCACTTGACTGGGTCAAGATAACCCAGGTCAGGCCCCAAACCAAATGAGTCACTGGACTTGACTGGAACACATTCACAGTCACCTGAGTGGTCTGGTGACTCCTGGTTCAGATGAATTAACTTCTCAGCCTGAAGGCCGTCTCGGGGACCAGGACAATGTGCCCATGGCACAGCCTCCGGCAAGATGGCGGCCATGCAGGCCTCAGTGCCCAGGCTCCCGCCAGAGCCCTGCCCTGGCAAGACGCCTCACTCTTGGGAGAGGCAGCTTAGCGGCAGGAAGGAGCTGGGAGTGACTGCCCGAGGGCACAGGGCTTCCTTCTGGGGCGATGACTGCGTGGCACTGTGAATGGTCAGGCCACGGAACCGCACACTGTAAAATGATGGCAAATGTCAGGTCCTGAGTACGTCAGCAAAGTTTTTAAAATGGGGGAAAGTGGGCTGGAGCCAAGAAGCTAGTCCAACAGGCTAAACTCCCCCGGCTCCAGAGGGGCGCAGACCCAGCCTCTGAGTCCCTGTTGGTGCTTCGATGTCCGACTCCGTTGCCCGCTGGGTGGAAAAGAAGCATACACCTCTCTTTTCTTCTGAATCTTGCAGAACAGGTGGGGTGGCTCCTGGGCCCACTAGACTCAGGGGATCTGGGCACTGGGTCTTCCATGACGAGTGCTATCAAGGGCCAAGTAGCTGCAAGGCCACCAGTGACTGCCTGAGGACCTGGAGGTTCCTGACCTTGTGGCTTTAGCCAGGGCAGCTCATAGGTCTGTCAGAGAGCTGAGGGTCCTGGGAGGCTCCTGGGTTGCAGGAGCAGAGGTTGGACGTGTCCGGGTGGTGGACGTCTCACGGGTGGCCCTCTGTTCAGGCGAACACGGAGCGGTTTGAGATGGAGACCCGAGGGGTCAACCACGTYGAGGGGGGCTGGCCCAAGGACGTGAACCCCCTGGAGCTGGAGCAGACGATTCGCTTCCGGAAAAAAGTAGAGAAGGACGAGAACTACATCAATGCCATCATGCAGCTTGGCTCGGTAAGGCTCGGCGCCACTGAGGACCTCCCCCGACTCCAGCTCTGGGGTGCCAGAGCTGTGCCAGCCGTGGGTCCACATGGCTACTCTGGGGAGAGACTGACTGCTGACCACACAGGGCCATAGCTGAGCCTAAAAAAGTGGGAAACCCCTGGGGCAGAGAGGACCACCCTCCCAAAAAAAGGTTTTGGTCCTTTACTACTATTTTTTTTWATTATTTTTTGGGGGGAGGTTGTTGATGGACCTTTTTTAAAATTTATCTACATGAAGTGCTSAGAATCRAACCCAGTGCCTCACACATGCTAGGCAAGCACTCTACCACTGAGCCACAACCCCAGCCCCACATCCAATAAATTTGGAATAAGCTTTAAGTCTCAGCCTGGTTCAGTGTCGATTGCAAAAATGGGTCTCACATCCTTCACCGAAGAGTTAGAGATCACTGTAGGTCCAGACAAATATATGGGTGCCATATATACATAGGCCTGATGAAACTGTTTGGCTAGAGCAACATTTTTCTTTTCTTTTTCTTTTCTTTTTTTAAAGAGAGTGAGAGACAGGGAGAGAGAGAGAGAATTTTTTAATATTTATTTTTTAGTATTTGGCGGACACAACATCTTTGCTTGTATGTGGTGCTAAGGATCAAACCCAGGCCGCACGCATGCCAGGCGAGCGCGCTACCTCTTGAGCCACAYCCCCAGCCCCAGAGAGCAACATTTTCCAACATTTTTTGCATTATCATCCCTCCCCAAGA